GGGGGGGGGGGGGGGGGGGAGGTGTTTCGTACTCAAAAACAGGTGTATTAAATGAAAGTTTCCATACAGAATATTTTCCCACTGGGCTCTTAGAACACTGGTACTCAAACTTATTTCCTCCAGGCAGGATACTGGAAAGAAACTTCTGTGGCCAAAGAGAAGGTACCTAAAGATTCTGACATTGGCTTCACTGCTTTCCTAAAGATAAGGCCATGCTAGATCACCTTATAGTGAAGCCTGTAAGTAAAGAGCCTTAGTGCTCAGAACTTCCCAATAGCTATTGAGTTCCCATCTGTTAAATCTGAGCACACGTATAAGGATCACCAGGGAGTTGCAAAGAACAGGTTAACAGGAAAGACAAACCCAAAGAAATAAAAGCATTTTAGAGGAGAGACTATGCTGAGAAAAGAAAATATAAAATGAAACAATGCCTATCATTAATAGCCTTAGAAATAAGAAAAGACATTGCCTCATAAAAACAATAGGAATCTGGAAGAGAAATATTCAGAGAATAAAACAGAGCATTGGAAATTAAAAATATTTTATCAAAGCCCTGGCTGGATAGCGCAGTTGGTTAGAGTGTTGTCCTGATACACCAAGGTTGCAGGTTTGATCCCTGGTCAAGGCACATACAAGACTTAACAGCACCAATAACCTCTTTCCCCTCCCCTCTCTCCCTTCCTTCCTCTCTCTCTCTAAAAAAATACATGTTATCAAAGTCTGAAAGACATAATAGAAAGCTTAGAAAATAAAGTTGGGGAAATTTAAAAGGACACGGGATGGAAAGGAGTAGAGGGAGGGGGAAAAAGGAAAAATAAAGGGCTGGTCTCTGAGGTTCAACATCTGAATAAGAGTTCTTGTAGGGAGAATGGAGAAAAGGAAACAAATAATTTAATATTCCCTAATTGAAGGTGCCTTCCATATTGAAAGGGCTTGCCAAGTGTGCAACACAACGGACAACAATAGAGCCACGTAAAGGCACATAATAGTGAAATTTTAGAATACTGAATTTAAAAAGAAAACTTAAAACCTTAGAGAGCAGAAAAAATAGGTTTTATACAAAACTTCTGCAATCAGACCAAAAGCTAGAAGACAGTGAGGTCTGAAGGAAAATTATTTCAATGGTGAATTCCATACTTATCCAAATCCTTAAATAAATGTTAAGTAGAATAACTAGAACAAATCTTTAGACATTCATTGTATCCAAAAGTTAGCTCCCAAGTATCCTCTCAGGAAGCTGCCAGAGAAAAGGCTTCCCCAAATGAGAGACTAACCCAAGAAAAAGAAAGATATGGGATTAAAAAAAAAGAAGAAATCTAATATTGGAGAGTGGCATGAAGAGTCCTCAACATAGTGGTGAAAGGAGATCTTAGGGTGACAGCTGCTCACCAGACACAGAGGCAGCCAGTAACCAGTCTAGATTGGAGGAGGTCAGAGGGCTCCATGAGAAGTGTCTTTAAGAAGGTGCAGTTGAAACAATAGTAATGTTATCTGATTGTATTGAGAGAAAATTGATACAACTGGAGAATAGCTGAGCATCCTATAGGACCACTGTTCTTTGGAATGCACTTGGGTACTGTTTAAGTATCCAGAGCATATTTCAATATAAAAAATAATCCTCCTTTTTGGGAAGTTCTACCTTATGCCTTAATCAGTCTTTCCGATAGTCCACATATATTTACATCCATGTGAGGAAATGCATGCACATGATAAAAGTTGATGGAAACCATAGAAATAATTGGGCTGTCTAGACAATCATTTCTTGACCACTGAATAGTAATCCAATAGTAATGGGGAGAGCATCTAAATCCTTAGGTAATACAAATAATATTCCCTTATCCTCATGAGTAGTTTTATCTTTCCCTCTCTGATAAAGATCAAACAAAATGTGGCTTATGAATTGCAAATAATTATCTTTCCATTGCTTTATTACCTTTGCCTGCCATACAGGAACCAATGGGCAGAAGAATGATGAAGAGGCAGGAAAGGAGAAAGTGAAGTAAGAAATCTATGGTTGAAACTAAGAGATGCTAGATGAGTTTTAAGTAGGTGTTAAGATGGTCATACTTAGCATTAGCAAAAAGTTGTTCTCAGTTACTGTTTAACTATGATAATAAAGCCCTTTGCAAATTTTGACTATAGCTAGAACTGACTATTAATATTTGCAAGAAAATAATGTTCTTCTAGGTAATGCCTCATCTGGTTAAATGGACCCTAGATAACTGAGAATTGAGTGCACCTTGCGTAGTGTGGAATGTTGAAGACTCTGATCTGGATAAAGTTTTCCTAAAGTTCTGGGAATGAAATCCCTCTGGGGTTTCCTTCTCAAGCTTCTTCCATGCATATTTAACTCTCCTAATGAACCATTCATTAGGACAATATTTTCTTGCAAATGTGTGTCCTCATTTGTAGTTATAGCTAACATTTCTACAGTTATCATAGTTCTACAGTAATTGGGAATAACATTTTGTTTACACCTCATCAGAACTCAACTAGCATCTCTTCATCTCAACCATTGATTTCTTACCTCCCAGGTCCAGCAGTGCCCTGAATCTAGGGAGTGCAATGTGGTTGGCGATCTGGTGGGTGAAGGAGCATGGAAAATGAAAACTTTATGGAGGCTTTAATTCTCCAAATAAAACTAAGTGCCTGTTCCACGAATCATTACACAGATCAGAAACCCGACCCTGGCCCATTGGAACAGTCCAAGTAGAAGAGAAGCTTTCAAAAGCTCCTCGAGAGATTTTCTGGGTGTAGTTGGCAGGTCTGTGGAAGGTATGCTCTACTTGGTCTTGAGCAATAGTACAGGGGAAGATTAAAATTCAGGGTGAGGTTAAAGTCCAAGGCCCAGTCCTGATGTAAGTAAGGATGGGAGACCAAAATGATGTGTGACAGTGAGGCTGGGCTTGGAGACAGAAAACCTCAGTTGCTATGTTGATTCTGTCTTTTCCTAGCATTGTGACCTTGGTCAAGTAACTTAGCCTCAGTGGTGATTTCCAAAATGAGGATGAAAAAGAGATATTGGATGTGAAATTGCATGTAAACTTTATTGGAAGGATACACAAAGGTTTATTATTTTTGTTGCTGCTATAAATGGTTGTGCTTCCTCAGGGATGCTCACAGAGTTTGCTTTAGAGGTGAAACTTTAGGGTGAATATCCTCAAGACCCAGCACACTGAGGAGGTTTGCAAAGGGGCAGTTCAAAGGGAAGGGGACTAATGGCAGCTGCTGTTTTTCTTGTGCTTGTTTTCAAACTATTCTTATAAAGAGAGGGTGAGAGAGAAAGGGAGGAAGGAGAGGGAAATCTTTTCTGAAGGGTTAAAACAAGATAGTGCTGTAAAGTGATTCCAGATGTACAAATATTAATATCTCTCTCTCCCTGATGAATGAGAAGGTATGACCCAGTTAGGAAACTGCTAAAATTACCGGCGCCACCGAGACCTCAGTCGATGGCCCAGTGCAGATTTTTATCCTTACCTCGGCAACTATAATGCTGATGAAGGGCTCGGACCTGCTGCAGCAGACCTTCCAAAACTTCACTCTGTCCCTTGTGTCTGGGCTCTCTGTCGTCATAGTCTTTCCAGTCTATTGAACAAAAGAAACAAACAGAGTGAAATTTTAAAGCAGGGGAGGCCTCTCCCCAGCCCTGCCTTGGGAGCTGAGTTTTGCTCATGCTGCCCACAGACTCTGTGGATAAGCACCCAGCATTTGCACAGCTAGCAAGCAGTGCCAAGGGTTTGGAGGCTGCCATTGTTCAGGGCCCTGTGCAAAACAGTAATTGTGGTTGGTTTCTCATGTTGGGCAGTTTTAGGGCACAAGAAAATGGTAATGGAAAGCCAAAAGAAAATGGGGAATTTGGGAGTCCAATTTCCCCTCCCCCAGCTCCTTATTCTCCTTTCAGCACCCAGTGTCCTAATCAGTTCCCCTGCCATCTCTCCACTTAGCACCCCAGGTCTCAACTGGATTTCCACAGTAGGAAAGAAGGGGGTGTGGGAATGTGCAGACTAGATGAAATCTACAGTCCCAATGCTTTTATTGTAGGTTTCACACTTTTGGCCAAATTGACATTTCTTTCCAAGGAAAGAGCCCATGTCAGATGCCAAGAAATTGAAATCTACATTTTGCTCTAATGAATGTCTGCTTTGGTTAGCTGGCACGGCAACTCCTGCACATACTCTGAGCCACCAACCACCCTGTCTGCTCAGTCTCTAAATATACAGTATTAGCTTACATGGCAAATTTAAATTGCAATACCCACTGAGATTTTTCTCCCCCTTCTATTTTCATTCCATTTGGCAATAATGATATCAAGAGTAATAACCCATATGGGACTAATGTCAAGTCTGTAATTCTGCTGTCTCCAACTCTGGATTATTTTTTTTTTAGCAGGTCAGTCAGTCATTTCATAGTCCATCCCTTCTTCTCTCTGTTTTCCTTCCCCCAGTTTTACTTTCTGAACCTTTCAGAAGCAAACAATTGAAGGCGCTTCTTAGTTAAAATGCTTTTTCTAAAAACGCTAGGCTTTTTTTTTTTTTTCTCCTAGAAAAGTCAGTTTGTTCATAAGTATAGTGGAGGCTTAAATTCTAGTTGAATGATTTTCAAATTCCCTCCCCCTAGTTTTATTTTAAAATATGGAATCTCCCTTGTTTAGGTGCCATGACAGTTAAAGTTAGGTAAAAGTCTTCTACACAGGTCCATCCAAGGCCAAGTAGTACAGCACATTTAGAAAGACACAGGTCCTGGAGACAGATAAACTTGGGTGTGAATCCTGGCCCTTCTGATTCCTAGCTTAGTGACTATAACTGAAGTAAGTTACTTACACTCACAGGGTCTCTACTCTGTAACGTGAGAAAGGAGGATAGTGTCTACCTTGAATTATTTTGTGAGGATTAAATGAGAGGTCTAAGAGGTATCTACCACGATGTTACATAGAAGGCATTGTGTAAGTAATAACTTAAAAAGAAGGGTCTTTATTGGTGGGGAGTTAACTCCCTGAGTAGCAAGTATGTAAACATTCTTACCGTATCAGATGATCCCCTCTGAAGAAGGAGGCCCCAGATATATCCTAATCCTTCCTCTTTCCCACCCTCTCCCATGTACCCTTCTCCATTTTAGCTCTCACAAGACCGAGGCCAACAGAAACCCATTCCAGTTCTACATTACTCAACTGGTTGGTGGCATGGCCAGGACTGTCGCATAGTCTTATGACCCTCCCTAATATGCTCATTTCCTTATACCATGGACATGTTTGTTTTTTCTTTTGGGAAGGAGGGTCAGAGCTTGGTTGGCATCTGTGTGGTGTGGGTTAGTTGTGGTCAACTCTGGAGACAGGGAATTGGCATAGGTGCCTTCTGTAGACTCTGTTCCTTGTGGGCAGGAACTGTGACTTAATTTCTCTTTGTCTCAGGTTTCTCCTCTGTAAAGTGAATTTTTGAGTCTCTTTTTATGTTATCTGAGATTTCAAAGAAGTAATAAAAGAGACTGGTTCCCTCATCATCTTTGGGCACATAGGAGACACCCATTAAATGTTGGTGAGGCATTGTGAGTAGCTGTGTGAAGGTGTTCAGATAGGATGGACTAGGAAAGGGCTGTTATTAGGAAATTTGGAAATGTTTGAGGACATTAACTCCAAGTACTTTTTGTAGTGTCCCTATTGTCTGGGCATAGTGAGAATAAACATTATTTTCATGGATTTCCATAGGTCATTATGAGTTTGTTCCCCTAGCTGGATAAATGTATCTGAAATCCTTATGATAAGATGAGCAACATAGTTTGCTTCAGTAGGACTCCTGGGTGGCTGAATTACTGCCTGGCCCTGAACATGCTAATACATTCTAATGAGTGTTAATACTGCTGTCAATGCAAGGGGAGATGAAATGGACCTGGCTCTTTCAGCCGAGTCCTATTACATCAGAGGCGAGCTTGAGCTGATGACTTTATGATACATTAGAAAATTGCTAATGCTAAATTGCAGCCTGAGTGAATGCCGGACATGATGCCAAGGTTTTTGGAAAGAATGAGTTTTTCTCATAGATGTTTGGAAGGTTCTGACGACTACATAAAATAGGAGACTTTAGGGATGAGGGAGAAAATTGAAAATATATTAAGAAATCAGGAACCTGACAGGAATAAACTTGGTGTGGTAAGAAAAGAGCAGATTGTGCCACATAATACAGTTCACTGTTCTGGTAATGAGACACTTCAATTGCAACACAATGCAGAGCTTACATTCGCTGGCGATATCAGGGCTTTCCTGATCGTAACTCAGACAAGCCTGTCTGGGTCCTTTTCTCTTATTATGTACCCTACCATATAACATAAGTCTATAAAAACACATTAAGGCCTTTTGTAAAAATATAAAAAAAGTTTTATAGCTTACTGGAACATATTACCCAATTTCCAATTACTCTGTCATGTTAGAATACATTGTCTTCTGGTAAATATTTGAATAATGATACATGTTACATCACAATGTCATACTCTGTTTGTAAATAGAACCAGAGTGTTTTTATATTGTTCTTTCCAAGTGATATGGCATGTCTGCAGCAACTGTAATGATATGTTTGCATTTTAGCTCTTTGCCAGATACCCCTACTAATCCATTGTGCTGTTTTTGAAAGCACTGCCATTTTGCTATGTTAATTAGCAAGAAGTAAGTGAATCTTCCAGTCTTGGACAACTGTTCTTGTCATTTTGGAGAGAGCTCTTCACATGAGCTGTAAGGAAGAGTGTCTGAATAAAATTTGTTTATAGAACCAGACATGTGATGTTTTATGTAAATGCATCCACATGCAGATCCGAATTTGCATGGGGTGTGCATTTGGAGTGGGTTTTCCACTGCCCTACCTTCAAGTGAACTGAGGCTAGCTTTTTTTTTTTTCTTTTCTGTCTCTTCTATCCCTCCATTTCCAATAATATATACCCATTTCCTTTTCTTCTTGGAAAGAGATTGGTTCCCTTATTATCTTAATCTTTCAATATTCCCAGTTTGTATTTCTGACAAGTCTTGAATAAGAAAGATGTCTAAATAAGACCGGAATACTTAAATCATTAAGTGCTAGGGGATTCAGGAGCCTTATAGAGTCTCTGGTATCAGTGATCTAAGGCTCTGTATGATCTCGATTAGCTGTCTGAATCCACCAGAGATGGGAGTCAGGAATGGTTGGCTGGTTCTTAGTTGGCTTGTCTGCCTGATAGTGGGGCACTAGTTACTCCTGGTGTACGTAGCGGGTCTTGAGCTCTTTGGGCTTGGATCCTGGCTTAGCCACATACCAGAGTTGTAACCTTGAGTAAGGCAACATCCTCTCTGAATCCCTATTTCCTTATTATTAGAGGAGACGGAGGAGTTGGACTTGACTTCCGTGGTTGCTAGTTTGGTGATGTGGGGCTCTGTGTGTGTATGTGCCTCTCTATGTTAATAGTTCTCTCATTAGTAAAATGGGTCTAAGAATAATTCACCTCAGTAGGTTTGTTATAAAGATTAAAAGAGTTAACCCATGATAAATTCCTAGATTAACACACAGCATATAATGAGTCTTATAGATGTTAGCTCTGATGCTGCTTATCCACAAGACGGAAGAGTGATGACTGATAGTTGTGAGTATTAAGTGAGATACTGAATGGGAAACCCCATAACATACCACCGATTTGTGATTGGTCCTGGGTAAAGAGTTATCATAATACTCAAAAAGTATATAAATATAAAAAAGAAAACTCATAACTCAGATATCCACTATTAAATTTGGAGAGTTCTATTTAGACACACCTATCTAATTAAAATCAAACTCACAGTTTAAATGTTGTATAAAAATCTTGCATTTTTTTTACACAAAGTTTATACTGTAAGAATTTCTTCAACACAATGAATGTTTTGTAAAACACCATTTTGTTCTGTAGTATAGATACTATATGATACTTTATTGAACCATTAAGTTAATATAGAATACTTGTTCTCTCATCACACATGATATTTCACTATAGCAATATGTTGCTGCACTGCACATCTTTGTCCATAATTGTTTGTCTGCCTTTGTTTTCTTAGGTTAAATTCCTAGATGTGTAATTATGGGTTAGAAAGAAATGAATGTTCTTATGGTAGTTGATATAGATGGCAGATTGTGTTCCAAAAAGGAAGTAGCAGTTTGTACTCACAGGAACATGTTATACCATTTTTAACTATCACATTCGTGAAGATCCAAAAAACTGCAACACCAGCAATAGGCTCATTATGCAGAAAAATATATTATATGATATGTTTGAGATTGTTTTTTCTGGTTAACAAAGAGTTACCAGATATACCAGGGCATAAATTATTAAACTTCAAATAATTAGAGGAGGCTTTGCTGGGTTTTTCAGCCACCACAACAGATATTATCAGTTATATTTGTGACAGAGTGCCTGTTTGTAAGAAAGTTTTTCTTCTGACGGAATGTAAGATTTCCTCGGTTCCTGTCACAAAAGGGATGATAAGAGCTAAAATGGACTCTACGTATTTTGGGCCAGCCAGTGCCACGGAGCCGTTTCACTATATCCCCACAAAAACCCTGAGTAAGGCTGTGATCAGACCCATTCAATAGATGTTGAATTGAGACTCTTGAGAGTTTCAGTAACCTTTGAAGGCTATACAGTTAATGGGCACCAAATTTAGTCTTGCTGGTTACATATCTCCTTTCATTCCATTGAGTTGCTTCCCAGGGGAGCATTTCTGCAGATAAATCATTCATTATGTGGCCCAGATGCCGCCCTGAGTTAGTCTACTGCAGTGGAGACAGGGAATGAATGGCAATGACATCCTGAGGATAGAGTGGGAGTTGGAGCCTGTTGCCAGGCTTGAGGGAGTTCACAACCACCACCTACTAGAAGGAGAGGCACATGTTGGCGTCGTGATCTGAGCAGGTCCCCATCCTTTCATGTTATAAGCTGAGACTTGAACAAAGTACTGTTGGCCCTGCAAAGTATCAAAATAGAAGAATGCATCAGGAATTTTATTTAGTCACTGTTACCCTAGAAGTAGATTTTCTTGTCTGCTGAACTCCTTTATCCCTTGAGAGCAAACTACTCCACCACCCATACTTTAGCTTTCTATCTTTTCTTGACTATTATGTTTACGTATGATAATACATATTTTGGGGGTGTCCTTTTGCTTTCTTTATGCTGTCTTCTATCCCAAGAACTACAATATCATAAATTACTTTTTCTGACCCCTCCAAAACACATAAACACCAATTTTTAAAATACACAGTTTTATAAGGTTTACCAAAAAAGAGTACTTTTTTCACCCTCATCTTTCTCATCTTCCCTTCCCCCAGAGAAAACCACCATCACCATTTTAGCTGATCAACTTTCTTTATAAAAGTAACAAGTTTTAATGAATATCTTTTCAGATTAGTCATTAAAGTTCTGCTTCATTCTTTTAGTGGCTGCATCGTACTACTCTGTGGGGCAAATACAGCCATTTATTTAACTAATCCCTCACTGGTGCAAGTTTGGATTATTTCCACAAGTTACACCACAATAAACAATGCTACAATAAACATTCTCAACTCACCTATCAAAACTTCAAAAAAGTTAATTATTTGATATTACTTCCACTTTAAAACTGTTATTAAAACAATGATATATTCTTTAATGTCTTCTGGTATTATGAGTTAAGGAGTTATTTTTGTTTGCTTATAATCTTTTTAAATGTTTTGTATGGCTTTATGTTTTTGCTTTGAGGAGTTTGTTTTTTCCTGGTGAACTCAAAGGGGCATTTTAGAAGCCAGCATTTGATAAACCATTGATTGCAAAAATTGTAAAATGGTGTTTGTAGTTAAAAAAAAAAAAAGCAATCTCTGAAGAGCCTTTGCTAGGGGTTTAATAATATCGGGCTTACTCTAATGTAAAGTTAAAAATATTTTAACATTAAAAATGGGTTTCTATAAAAATGGGTTTCTCTGTACCTCAAGGTTACGAAGACTCTATAGAAGTGTAAATCTACTTCTACTCTTTTATGTGATTAGGATACTGTCTGCATTGTTCTCATTGGATGACCAAGTGGAAAAACTTAATTCCTATAAAAATTAGTTCAAATATTAGAGAAATTCTCTGTGGAGAGCTTTCCATTTTTATCACCATAACACTTTTTCTTTTCAAGCAATGGAAATTCCCTAGGGTTCTCTATGGCCCTCTTCCATCATGTGAGCTATAGGGTTGGGAATCATTCGTCTGCCGTCTGCCGATAGCATCTCTGGGGGCCACCTACCCGTGTTTGTTTTTTCTGGTAATCCACAGTTTTGGCCTCTGGTGTAGACGTGTGATTAGAACTAAAAGTCAGGATTCTATGGTGGTGACCCAACCACCAAGCATTCTGTTAGAATGAGCTGGTTCATATTCAAAGAGATGTACCCTGGTGCACCTTGTTAATGCTGGGTTTCAGGATTGTACTTTACATAGAACTGTTTTAATTGACTAACTTTTTAGAAAAACAACAATAATAACAAAATTCTCCCTCTACCTCTTACATGCGAAAGTCCTAAGGTATTATTTAAATTGTGCCGCTCTCCCCCCGCCAAAAAAAATTACAGGTTGGATTTAAGTTTACTTAAAAATGTTTTTTTTTCCCATTATAAAAAAAGATTTCGGTGATCCAGTTTTGTTGCATTTTAATTATTAGAGGAAATATAGGGTTTGTTTCTGTCTGAACTGATTTGCTAGGTGTTTTTATATTTTGCATTTTGTATGCTTATATGGTTTATAGTTCTATAAATAATTAACATTTAAGTTTAGATTGGTTGAACAAATAAGCACAGTTTGTTCCAGTTTTTCATTCACAGTTTAAATTGGTTCAGGTTACTGAGAAATGTAGCGCCACCATATATAGCTTCTTTTTTGAGAGAGCAGATTTAGACAGATTTTTTTTTTAAATCAAGGGAAAAGGATTTTTCTCAGGAAATTGTGTGACTCCAATTGATGACTGATCTCAACCAGGCTGTGGGGGTGAGGGATAGATGAGGCTGTTATTTTTACCATCAGACAGGGAGTCAAAATTGGATCTCTCGGAGCCTTTGATCCCCCCTAAAGATTAGACTGAGATCCAGAAAGCAGCAGCTTTCAAGGCTTGTGTGAGGCCAGTCTTTTTCTGATCTCCGTAGAACATGGCAGTTTACAAAGTGGTTCATGCTGTCTGCTCACTCCGTTGTGGGGTTCAGATTATGGATACCAGACATATCATGCTTAAGGAATGGCAGTTGTTGCCAGAGGACTGGGTGTTGCCTGTTGCTTCCAGAGTAAGGCATTTGCTACCAAAATCCCCGCACAAACATCAGGGGCAGGGGAATGGGAAGTTTAAGGGGGGAGATTTGGCATTTACCGTTATAAGCCCTGTAATTGTGCATCTCAGGGTCTGTAGGTCCTCCATGATGATTTCTCCAGCCAAAGGACAGAAGTCTTTAGACATACTCCATTCCACTGGGAGGGAGAGAAGGAGGGAGAGGGAGGCAGAAAGAGGCAGAGGGAGAGGAAGAGAGAATGGATGAAATTGTCATTAAGAAATAAAGACACTCTAGCACAGAATCTCTCCCCAAAATAGTAAGTTTACCCTCTTTTTCCTATATTGACACATCTAACATTCTCCTCAACATAAGTCAGTTTCCAAGTTCACAATTATATTTTTTAAAACAAGAGCAAAAAAAGTAATTATTCAACAATGACTAATATACCTTAAATACTTGTGTGTGTGCGTGTATAGACATACATTTTCTCAGGCACATTACATGTACAAGTTCACTGTATATAGAAGATGACGTATTTTATTATATGTGAGAAGGCTTCATTATGACACTGCATTCTATTTATTCCCAAGTCTGGTTTCTGCCTCAATGTTCTACTGAAAATGCTATTTCAGGGTCCCAGTGACATTCTCATATTCGAAATAAAGAAGCTTCCTTTCATTTCCTCCCATAAAACCTGACACCTTTTCCTGGAATCATTCTCTTTCCTGAGTGTCTCATACGCCATTCCCTGCTTTCCTTCTACTTCCTGACATTATCTCCCAGGATTTGGGATTTGTGGCTGAACTCTGCAGTGGTCCCCTCACACCTGGCATCCTCAAAGTGGGTGTTCATTCAAGGTTACATCTAACACCCAAATTCTAATACTCCATTTTCCTGTGAGACCACTGGTTGAAAAAACCATGATCAGGAAAGATAAATTTTGTATCATTGGTAAAAAGTGTCTTAAGGGACAGTTTACATATGGCAGGATTTAAGGCAATCCTAAATGAAGCAGGCGATTGAGTCACATGGGAGACAAGGCCTGCGTGTTTCTAAACCTCATGATGACAAGCTATAGACTTTAAGATTTAAATTACATTCTCTATGACACTTAAATATTTCAAAATTAAGCCAAGCTATTCCTAAATTCTGTTGCTTCCCCAGAGTCACAGATCTCTCTGCTTTAGTTACAGCCCCTCTACCTCTTTTCATTATTCTCCTGGGTGTCTGCCTTGCTTTCTCCACTCTCTCAAAATTGCTCTCCTAAAATTACTAGTGTTCTGACCATCCACAAAACCTCTTCTTAGGAAATTTTGCCACAATGGCCTCCCTTATTTTTTACAACCTTCTTTCCCATTGGTTTTAGTTGCACACTCTCTTTGCTTCTCCCTCCTGATTTCCACATTCCAGGCTCTCCCAGGGTTCCCCTTTTCTTCTTCCTTTGATGTGCTATTCCTTGGGGGTTTGGCTCTTCTATTTACTCCTCATACTTGCCACAGGTAATGACCTTAGTCACCCTTATGGCTCCAGCTGTGCCTCTTGAAACTGTAATTCTAGGTAGTATGACCTCTTTCTGGAGCTTTAATTTTCTCCTGTAAGCCTTCACTCCACTTGAGTATCTCTTAAGTACTTGCCAAGATATGTTTCTTCTCTCGTTTCCTCAATTTTAGCTCATGGTACGGACACACACCCAGTCCCCCAATCTCAAATCTCAGAGCGTCCTTACCTCCTCTTTCCCCCTGATTCCTTATACTGAGTAAATTACTAAACCCAGTAGGCTCTAAGTTTTCCCTCTTCCCCTCACACTGAAATTACTGTGGAACAGGCCTTTATAATCATGATCATCAGCTCTGCAGTTGATTTTTTTATAAGCCTGATAGATCAACTGATTAGCTCTCCTAATTTATTTTTCTGTTCATCTTTTCATCCTCATATACAATCCTCTTACTATATAACCTGAATTATAGTTTTGAAATGCAGATCTATTTCTTTCATTCCTCCACTTAAAATCTTTCATAGTGCTTTCAAAATAAAATGAATTTTTACCAAGGCATTCAAGGACTTTCATAATCTGGTTCCAACCGTACTCTCCTGTCTTCATCTTCTTCCATTTCCCAAAGCAAATTCCTTGTTATGTAAGTCCTGTTATGTGATTATTGTGTGTATTTTTCTGCCTCTGTGTCTTTTGCTCATCTTCCAACTTTGGCTTTGTGAAACCCTACTAATCGTTTAAGACCTGGCAAAGCCAACTCTTAATTCCTGTGCAATAATTAATTAAACACCTGTTTTTGTGCTCGTAGAGTTCTTTATTCATATAAAAACAAGGTTTATTAAACACATTATGCTTTATTGTGTCTCTTTTTCTTATTAGATCGTGAGAAACTTGAGAATAGGAAAAGTGTCATTTCTTTCCCTCTCTGGTATGTGGATCTGTGTATGCAGTACATAGATGGTGCCTACTAAATATTTTACACACACACACACACACACACACACACACACACACACACACACACACACACCCCTGGAATAGACTGCTTTTTTCCAACATGGAGATATTTTCTTCTTCTCTAGTGTCTTGCCCTTTGAAGCTTTCAGGCATATTGTAAAACCCAGTTAAAATCAAATGATTACAGTTATGTTAACTTTCAAATTGAGAGTTATAACTCTCTACCTCCTTATAAATATGTATTCTAAAACACACATGTTTATGTTTTTATATACGTTATATATATGTGTATAATTGTTTTCAAAATTTTTTTTTTCTGCTTATTAGGAGCTACTAGCTCTTGAAGAAGTTGTCTCTGAAAGTCAAATTGAGTGGGTTTGTAATTAGAGAATAATCTTGAATAATATTTTAACTAAAGGAAAAAAAAGAAATCATTGAGGGAGTTATCACAAACAAAACAGAATGAAAATTAGTAGCAAATGTATAAAGACATCTAGAAAGAACAAAGAAAATTCTAGAAACAAAAATATCCTTGATTGCCATTGAACATGTTTGATTGACTGATGTGGTGGAGCTCCAAGTTCAAGGCTGATAATTAAGAGCTTCTGATTCCAAGCTAAGGATTCAGGGTAGCATGCCAAAGGAGAGTTAGGGATTAGGGGGAATGATACCAGATTATTTGGCAAGTGATTAATGAGAAGTTGCTCAAAGATACAATCTTTAAAATTTTTGAAGAAACACAATTTATTTTTGAATAAGAACTGTTTATGTGCTATTGAATATGTTTTACAGAGCATGTTCCAGGTGGAAAAGAGGGCCTGGCTTCTTGAAAATCAGAATAAAAATATAGAAGCAGGTTTGTCAGAATGTGCATGTGGTCCTGCTTTTATAGTTAATAGAATGTTTTAAGCATTTAAGTCCAGTTAGATCTTATAACACATATGGGTTTCAAAGGGGGAAAGGACTAGGAAAAGAGAAGATTCACTTGGAAGGAAAAAAATTATCCATGTTGGAATGGCCAACCTATGCTGGGATGACCAATAGTCATTTTCTTCTGTGTACTTTACTGGGTTCGTGGACTCTTCTGACATGTACAAAGGAGCTTCTGATAATTTAAGAATGAAGAGGGAACAGAGTAAGCAGGAGCCACTTGGAGAGCCAACTAGGAATTCTAAGAAGGCAAGTTAGCATGGTCTCTCTGGAAAGTTATGTGTAGGTCATTTAACGACTTAATATTAAGGCCATGAGAAAATCACATATAAGCCTGCTGTAAATCCCTGAAGGGCTGGAGCCATGTATATGAAGTTTAAAGCTATATAAAACTTATAATTTTAAGATAAAGATCAGGCAACTGTTTCTTTTTAGGTTTGGGAAATAGAAGCAGGGTTCAATCATGCAATGGCTCATAGCAGTTGAACATGAGCAAGAAAGGTACAGAGAAAACCTAGGTGTTAGTATTTCTTAAAATTTGGCTCTGGCTCAAACTGTGATGTACTATATTTAAATCAAATAACGATGGATATTTTAAATGTGACACTGTTATTTTAACAAATACTTCATTTTTATCTAAACTTTAGAAATGTAGAATCATTTGGGCAGGAGAGTTCTAGCTGAACATGACCATTTTCCTGATGGCAGCTATGTAAATCAAAGTTAACGCATTAAGCGCCAAGCCTGTTTTGTCTTCCTTTCCGTTTAGCCTGTGATATTCGATTTCACCGATATGTTGGTGGCCAGAGACTGATGAGGTCCACACAGAAAGTATAGTGTCAGTCACCGGTGACTGACATGGTGCTTAACGTGTTAAAAAGCATAAAATGAAAAGGAACTGAAGATCTGGGCTTGTCACCTAAAGCCTATAATGTGAGGGGAAATGCCGCAGACTCAATGAGAAAGGCAGAGAACTCAGAACTAGAAGTGTTAAGGATGTACAAGCTGAGAACTTAGTCTAATGCACAGGTAAATAATAAGTCTCCTATTGTAGACTGTGTGATTAATACACCCTGCTCTCTCTGGAACACTTTTAAGTTTCAGGCTAGTTTTTTGAGATGTGATAACTATGTATCCTAAAGGTGTAAAGAAATAACATTGCAACAATGTCCAGTTAATTTCATCTGATTAAAAAATAAACCCCAAACCTGTTATTGTCCAGGTTCTCCCTACAGTCTCCAATGCCTCAAAGCCCAGAGTTGTTTTATCCTGTTTGCACACTGGGAGGAGTACACAGTAAAAGTTATCCTCTCGCCTTTTGCCCAGGCCCCACCCACACCCCCCACTCCAGCCTCACCAGTCACTGGACCTCAGACCCATTGCTTATGCTGTTTTCTTCTTTTGTACGCTATCCTCTGTCCCCAAATCATCTTCCTCTTCATTCAAACAGACCTGGTTCAAGGACATTTCCATTCGATAGCTTCTCCTGGGCTTCCAAGGGAAGCTCCTTTGCCAATTTTTCTGTCTTATATTTTCTGTCTTAGCAATTTTAATGTCTTATATTGCACTTGCGTTATTGTTTTTTATTTAATTTTTAAGACATCTGTCTCCTCTGTAGTCTATATGCTCTATGAGGGCAAGACCATGTCAAATTAATACCAGTATCCAAAGCACTTACTATAGCACCACAGGTGGCTCAGTAAATGCTGGGTAAATTGAATGCTTGATTCTGGACTTTCAAATATTTAAAGTCTAAAGTAGACAAAACTCTGATGCTGGTACATAAAGAGTAAGAAAACAGTGTCAGAAAAAACGAA